TCTTGCTAGGGAAAATCGTATGGAACAAGTGCTGAGAACATCGTTTCTTGGTACCAGACCTCGTGTCTTCGCTACCCCGGGTGATCGCTTTTCTGCAGAGACGACCGAAAACCGAAATTATAATTATAACAAGAATGGCCGAAAGGCGGTTTTAACTGGGCTGCTAAGGGGCGACTTTTTCTGAGGGGAAGGGGTGGTTGTACACACTCATGCCACCATAAAGCCTTGTCGCCGACCATTGCGTGACGTATAGGGCGTTTTCCATTTACCAAAATCTTTGAGAAACCTCCATGGAGAGGTCCATCGAGTGAAGAACGTGTTCCATTTTCTTTCATGCTCTCATCATCAAAATTCAAGATGGTGACACAGATATCGCCGCGAATAGCCTGGAACTGGTGAAAACTCTTAAATGGAACGTGCAATTTCCCCCGGAAAGTATCGAACGGGTAACCGGACTATATTTTCAAAATCCCACTTATTCCCGGGAATTTTTCATTGCAACACACGGAAAACGTGTGTTCCATTAACATCCCAACCGGAATTTCTTGGTAAATGAAAGGCGCTTAGAATCTCTTGTGAAAGTGAAACATAAACTCATTTGAACATTGTACCCTTTTAGAAGACGTTGTAACAAGAAAAATGAGTACCTGGTCGGGGCTGTATAGTAGTAACTTTTCAAATTCCACCATTATGAATAAAAACTTGTAATAGTTGACACTACAGCTGCCCCGCTCTGTATATTGTCGGTCAATAGTATTCTTGCTCGTTGTGTAGCTCTTTGAGATATACCGATTCATAATGAAGATTTTCACCCATATTCTATACAATGGGTGAGATAAATACAGGAAGCGAAAGGTTTCATGCACGGATTCAGTTCGATTTACACAGCTTTGATCAAAACATTCTCCGTTTCGGGATGTAGTTATTCTAGACCATAAGAAAAGATTTAATTAGAGGTTGGAATTGTAATATATTCTCACCCGGAACACCCTCACACAAAGCCAAATAAGCCTAAAGGCCCAAGATATGGGAGAATCGGGCCGAGGTTTTGTGAGTCGGTGAACCAGGAGGGAATGCGGGTCGAGAGATATATTTTTGGAGGATACACCAGTGTATCATGGGATAAGTGAGCGAGCGACGCCAGTCGTAGAAGATTAACAATTTAATGTTATTTCACCACAACACACGTACAATAAGTAAATCCATCGAGCGTAATTTTTTTTCGTATTCTTGCAATTCTTCTGTTCAGTTTTAGTGAGAAATTTGGCTATTTCGTCTTCCTCAAGTAGTTTAAGACCTGGGACTAAAGGGTTTACTTGCGTAAAATGACTTATTATTCCATAGAAACCAAGGCAAAAAGTTGGGTAACAAAACGATATAAAATAGATAGGAAATGGAAAGAAAGAAGACGAGAAAGAAAGATCGAAATAGATGTTGCAAAAACCGTCCAAATTTTTTCTTAAGCGCATGCGCAAAAACCAAAAATAAAACTTAACTCGGGGGAAAATATGCAAAGGGTTAAAGGGGCGCTAATTCGAGGAAGGCGGAGGGTGTTTTTTTGAAGGGGGCGCTTATTCAAGCGGTGTCGGTTACTAAAGGAGGTAAAGCATTCCATGTTCTTGTTAGAGTATAGTGAACAGTATGAAGTTCATATAGAATGTTTAGCCTCGTAGCATTACGGCAAATGATCGAACAGAGAGAGAATCGGATTAATTCTAAAGTAAAAATTTAAGTGCTGCAAATAACCCTTAGACCCTACTGAGCGATAGACTCAGCAAAGGGAATTAGGGGACCATACGGGGCAGGCAAGGAAAGGAATCTTTTAAAATCGGTGGGATTCGAACCCACGACCTCTGGACTAGATGAGGCCTGAGGAAGCAAGTCGTCGGTAATCGCGGCGAGGAAAGAGTGTGCGGGGAACGTAGAATGTTGTCCCGCATAGCAATAGTAACAAATGATGGAATAAAGACCCTCTTTCTTCGCCGCAGTAACTGTCTACGAGCCTTTTTCTTGTATATCTGCTTACCTTAAAAAGGAACATTATATGGATCGGATGGATGGCTTTGCTGTGAGTACTACGACAATGTTGCTACTAGCACTTACTTCGTTTCTTTTCTTTCTCAGGTGACTATGCCACTTATCGATACGATTCAAAAGCGTTTCTGTTTTCACTGGTGAACAAGCCAGGATGGGCACCTGTCAAATTGCCTCAAACAGGGTATTATGCTTATTACAAACGTTCCATACGCTCTGACAATTACTATGGGCCTATATTCGGAGGTGGATATGACATTTACATTTCCAACTACGCGTCGTCCAATAGCGATTCTTACAGCAACCTTGGCGATACTTACAGCCCACCGAGAGGGTACAGCTCCAGCACCTTCGCCCAAACATTCCTGGCAGGAACTCACAAGTTTACACCAGACGAAATAGAAGCTTTTTACGAAACAACCAAAATGCAGTGAGCTGCATCAGCTTTGACATTTCGCTGGCGGGGCTTGTTTTCCTGTATTGCGCATAAGTAAAATTAAAAACTCATAACTAAATTAATCGCAATTATATCCTGTCCTTGCTAAAGAGGCTATCTTCAACTATAAGGCAATTGGTTGCTGCCACGAAATAAAGCTGGAAAACTGATAGCTGAATAAAAGTACTCCATGATATATTATGTAGAATAATATGATTATTCGGTATGTCACGGCTCGGCAAGGTTTAGTGTAAAATCCGTTTTTTTTTTCTTTTTTTTTGTGAGCGCTTAAGGAGATGCGTTCTTAATAATCTAAGACGTCACCGATTAAGCTCTCTTATAGTCATGTTACTTTTTCCCTTAAGGGAAAAAAGGAAGAATTTAAGAAATAAAAACCATTTTTTGAAGTTTTTTTTTTTCAATCATCTTTTGCACGCCACCTAGATTCAAACCTTAACTCCTGATACAATATAGGCGTTTATACGTTTAGCAAGGGAGTTCAGTTCCCAAATTTAAGAGCTAATACATAATTTCATGGTCACTTTTTTTTCTATCAGGCGCTTTGGTACTGTCTATTTCAATAAGTTGGACGAATCTGCACTAGGATTACCATTAACGTAACATGAAAACCAACGGTTAGAAGAGTTTCAAACACAAACAAGAGAGGCAGGATTGCCTAAAAAAAGAAAGGTTTTCTGAGATCTGACCACCTATTGCACTGATTATGCACAGACTGACAAAAAGGTTTTGCATGTTTGAGACGATATGCTACTTATCTAGGACACACTTGCTGCTTTTGTAATGAATTTCGGGACACAGCTTTTTTAAGTAAACCTTTTGGCATGTTTGAGACGTTGCGCCAAATAGCTATAACAAACTTGCTTTTAATTTTGGTTTTAGTAAAAAGGGCATTATGATCAAACAAAGAACAACAGCAACAACCAAAGGTGTAAGGTTACATGATAGCCACTAAGCAATACCTTTATCATTGTTATTAATTAGTAACTGCGCTTTCTCGAAAAAGAAATCAAATAAGTGTGAAATGTAGTTTTGAGGCACTAAGGTCTGCTTTATGTTGACTTGTATGATTTTGTAGACATATGGTATAAGCAAATTTAATGTTTTTTTTCAGTCTCTTGTGTTACCATCTAAGAAAAAGCTTTCATTGTAATTCAGTAATAAAGTAACATTGGTAAACCAGCGGGTTCTCTAGTTGACATTATTGCCATTAAATTCACAAAATCGCTTTTATCGTAACGATGTAATGAACCTTCGATCTAATCACTCAGAATGGACGCAAACGTATTAAGCGTATTGTTAACAATTATTCCTTGATTCCTCGAGCCCGAAAGGGCTCTGAGTCAATAGCCCATGAGGCTGAAGGCCGAATAGGCCTGATTGACTCAGAGGCCATGAAGGCAAGAGGAATAATTATTTTAGTAAAATCCAACTAGTTGGTCAAAAATATCGAGAATAAAAAAATTTTAGCTACAATTAAAGCTAGACTTTAATCCTTTTTTGCCGCCAAAAAGCCCGCCCTTTTTGCTACTAGTGGGCTATTACATATAGCCTAGTAGTAGCTCAACCAATCAGAACGCAGCATTAACAATAGACCACTAGTTGGATTTTACTAATTTGATTTATTTATGGATCTAATTCTTTCTATGTTTTAAAAAAAAATGGAAAAAAACCAAGGCCTCGTTTCCGGCTTTTTCCCTTCTCTATTTGAACATGGATAAAGCCCTCGAGAATTCAACTCCAGGAAAAGTCGCCTACATTTGACGAATCGAGCGGTTCCAAATAGACGCAATAAAGTTCTCTGAAGTTTGAAAGGGTGCAAATTCGTTGTTTTAGTGATGTTTTTACTGCCGTCGTCGTCGTCGTTGCCTAAGGCCCCTAATAAGTAGACAAGACGACATAATGCTACAGCACTGAATTCCAAGCGTGCCCATCCCCCGGGCATTTGTCATCTTGTCGACCCGGGGGTGGGGCATTTGTCAATTCTTGTTAATATCGTTCCTTTTTCAATATTTCATTTAAGATATAAAAATATTTAAGATATTTCTTTAAGGAATGTTTTTTTTACACATATGCTTTAAATGTGCTTTTCGCTCCATCACCACCCTACCCCACAGTATTTTTTGCATCAGTCTAAGAAATTGCTTCCCGCCATATTAATCGCCGGTTCACGGCGTAAAGGCCTAGAAAAACTCTGCGAGATATTTGAACTGTCAGAGCCAATATAAACAGAGATTCCAACTCTCCCGTTTTGGCCGGAAACCTCCCGTTTTCGGCAAATATTTCCAGCCTCCCGTTTTCGCTTAATGTTCTCTCGTTTTATGAAACTCTTCCTTGCCAAAGAAAGGTAATGTTTTCTTTGTTTAACCAATCATTTTTAGCACGATAGTTTGCCGTTTTTCTGTGGTTTCTTAGCCATTTTTAGCCTTTTGGTATCCAAGCATGAGCCTGCGATAACTTTGGGCTCGATAATGTCGATAATGCACTGATGTGATAGGAACCATTAGGCCTTAGCTTCCACTGCCTGTTAAAAACTCCACTATTTTTCATTGACTATGATCTCAAAATGCGGGAAATATCATCTTAGAGGCACATATCTTAAAATTCAGTTTCGGAGGCAGCATGTCCCTGGACCCCCTAGTGGTTCACACATTCGGCTCTCGTGGGCGCAGCTATATACCGCTTCACAAACCTCCCTTAATTCAGTTGACAGGGTTGGAATCTCTGTTAACTTTCTTGCAGTTTTGTGTGATCAAGCGACGATTAATACGTGGACTGAACGGTTCCATCGTGATACGAAATTACTCTGTTTAGCTCCTCCGTTGTTTTTATATCATTGACTATTTTAAATACCTTTGAAAATAAGAAAGGCATTATTAAAATTCTAGTTTATAAATCTGTCATTGATATTATTCAGATCGATGTGATCTTTTTTGCATTATAACCAGTGTTTAGATTCAGATTTTCACAGATTCCCATAAATATGGCATTTGCAGCTTTTTCGCAGGAAAATGAAATTTTGGTATTGTCCCGGGGTGGGCATTTGCACACTGCGTGGGTGTTTTAAAGGAACCGCCCAGTCCCACTGTGGGGGATCTGGTAGGCTGGTAATTTCATTAAAACGTAGAAAGAAAATCAACCTCGTTTCCGGGATTTTTCCCTCAGAAATTGCGTGAGACTCGCTCCTCCCAAATACTGCGTGCGGATAAAGCACTGGTAATGAGGTTGGCAGAAAATTTCGTAATGACGGACGACTAACGAAGAGGGCATTATCAGCAGTCATAATCGGGCTAGGAGACTTTAAGTGCAGGGTCCACGCGGTTCCATCGAAATAGCCAAATGTGCTAATTTTAAATACAAACTGCGCCACCCTCAACGTCACAAACTCGCGCGGAAACCCTGCAAATTTGCGCGGCTCTCGTGTGGAATTTCGGGAGATGGGTAATCTTCCTCCCATTTCCTTTTTTTTTTCTTTTGATTGTTCTCTTAATTTTCCAAGTGCTTAATATCTCCATATACAGTGCATGCACAGTGGAAGAATAACCAAGAGCCACCTAATGTTATATAAAAATTACTAGAAATGCATTTATCGCAAAAACCTCGCGAAGCTGTAATGGGCCAGCGGTAAGAATAAAGGTAAACAAGCCAAATGGAGAAACTATGACTTAAGAGTCGAACCTGGACCATCTGCACCAGGCTACCAAGGGTAACGTTAAGTGCGAAAATTATTATATTTAATGTGTTTTCCGGTGAAATTCTGCCGGTAGACGCTTTTTGAAGCTGGTGAAGCATTGAAAGATGTATTTGAGGAAAATGAGACACAATTATTTGCTGTTGTTGTTAACGTTCCGCCCTCCTTTTCCACCAAGTTTTTTTCCTTTTTTCCTCCGAACGGGATATTCATCAACATCTCTTCGTAACTGGATTTGTCAAAATTGAAACACTCTCACTTCGGTGATTAACATGATCAGAATTACATTCACAGTCCTTATTTTCAGAGTTATTGTCAAAGAGGTTATCCTCAAGGTCTTGCCTCAAATTCAGAAGAGGGAATGATGACAGAAATTGAATTTATTTATTTGCTACGGAGGTAACTTCTGACGCCAATCTGTTTGTTTCTCCTTTCCGCGACACCCTCGCAAAAAATGTGCGTGCGTGTCACACGAGATGACGCAATTTGTGCTTAAGAAATAGCATATTTGTCTATTTCGATGGAACCAACCCCATTACTGGGGAAGGTATCCATTTACGGTCTTCTACCCCGATTATGGCTCTTGGCATTATATCGCTTTATCACGAAGGCAAAGAACTTTTCGAACTTGTCAGAACGCAAGTGATGTTGATTAATTCTCAGTTTTACGCGGTCCCATGCGATATAGCACGAATACCAATCAAAGTTTAAAACTAACTCGGCCTTATGGGATAACGTTGGTACTAATCATAGTTAAATTTTGCTCAGGCTAATGCAATTTAACTGTTAGTAATCATTACGTTTCACTGTCTTGTACAAGAATAGATCAGATTGCCTGCTGTTAGCCTGCTTAGCCGGCGGGATCATTTGCGCGAACAAAGTTTTAGAAGAGGAAGCTGCGACGCCACAGCTATTTATAAATACAAAATTTACTAGGGGTCTGGAAGTGTGATTAAGAATTCAAAATTCGTAACAGTAAGTTTACATAAGGCAACAGCTAACAAACCGTCAGCTTTTCACTGCTGATTATTAATACAAGACAAAAGAAACATAGTCAGCAGTGAAAAGCTGATACTTCGACGTGACAAGTAGACAAGATGACGTAAGAAGAAAGGACGAGACGACATCCAGGTAGAGGAGACAACATAAAAAGTACAAGAGATGACACGTACAAGAAGCAGGCAACACGATATGACCCTGGGGGGGGGGTAATCCCTTGTATAAGCCATAGATGTATGTGCCGCCCCAAAGGGTAGGGTTTCTCACCCAAATATGCCTGGTTGGTTTTTTCCGTTTGCTCCGGTCCTATCTCAAGGCGCTCAAAATTAACTTCCTATCATCCAGAAACACCTCCCCAACCAGTTGATACGGCTTGTAAATGACCGAGCGATAACCGCATTTGCTCATTTGATGTCTAGGTCGTTCATAATTCTCCCAGTCGCAACTTCCTTTCTGGTTGGATCTTGGCAAGTGTGGAATTTGTGAAGGAATGAGCAGTGGTACCGGCTGAATATGTGAACGTGGAGTCTCAGTATCTGGCATGGATCTTATCTAGCGGATGACTCTCATCGTCGAAATCAAGATGTTATGAAACGCATTGGAATTGTGCTGTGGGTTTAGCTGCCATGTTGCCTAGTATATCACACGTCTATCAACTTTTGACGTGGACCCGGTTGGGGAAAATCCGTCAAAACACTGAAAGTTTAAAAATGATTTGTTGAAACTAAAGCAGATATAGCATCTCAAAGTCGCGAAAATTTACAGACGTTTGTATGATGGGGGCAGATCTGGCTCGGATTATCGAGATTGTCGAAGTCTCATAAGTCAATATGGGGAGTCCGAAGTGTGGTTTTCTGCGCTGAAGATTGAAATTTTTCTGACGTTTACCTTAGGCCCAGCTCAAACGTCCAGCTTATCATGTATCGATTTTCTAAAATTGCTATTGGTTCGACTCAAATATGAGTTCGACGGTTGATTTAGACGTCGAACTTAAGTAGTCGAACTCGATTCATTTTCACGAGTTGCAATGGTCTACAAGGTTTACCAGTTAAAGTAAGTTACAGGTAGTAATTAATGCATTAGGTTCGGCGCATGAAAAGTTTCCCCTTAAAAACGAAGTCACTCCTCAGTGGAAATTCCTATTTGTGCCACCTTAACTCATGGATCGACCCAAATTAGATATGCCGGACTAACTGATTCAAAGGTCGATCTTTTCATATACTAAATTGAAGGGATTAGGTTCGGTACATGAAAAGATCGACGTTTGAACTGGGCCTTATAATCAAAAGATGCAACGAACAGTTTACCTGAAAGAAAGGAGGCCCACACCTTAAAGTGCCAGTATAACGAAAATTTTTGCTTCAGAACTTTTGCAAGGCGTTGCCACCCACCCAAATTGATCGGATCAAAACCTGTTATAGCAGATTCACGAGTTTGCTCATAGACCTCTTTGATCAATGCCTTGTAAATCCTTGTAAATTCTAAAATTTTTAAACTGTCGTTACATCTTTCCCTTACGCATTTAAGGGCTCAAATTGCCTGTTATGAATTAAAAGGAGATTTGAGCCCTGTTATGCTTAAGGAACTATTTCATGACAGTTTTGAAAATTTCGAAAGTACAAGGATTTGTATGGAAAACCATGCAAGCGTGACAGGATGGCAAAAATTGTTTTTCTCATACAAATGCTTCTAACTTTCGGCGGCCGTTGCAATCGCTACTCTTGAGATTATACGGCTGAAAATTCTCAGGTTACCTAATATTAATATGTTCTTTCAGCTGGTGCTACCAAATTTTTCAAAAGTGAACTATTTTCGTGTTTACCGAAACTTGATCACGTGATCAAGTCATGCAAAGAGCCTATTAGGCTTTTGTGCGTGTTTTCACTAGTCAGAATAGATATCTGTGGTTACGTCATTCCACTTAGCACGTCTGGATGAAATACATTTAAGAAAGGTATTCTCAAAAATACATATCATGAATGAGTGAACAATTAAATTTATGTACTTATTGCTTTCGTAGTCAGGAATAGCCTGCATGGCAGGCGCAAGGTAGTTTTGGTTAGCTTTTGATTAGTCCCTAGTGGGGGAGCAGGGGTCGCGTAGTGGTGAGAACACTCGCCTCCTATCAATGTGGCCCGGGTTCCAATCCCGGCGTCGACGCCATATTTGGGTTAAGTTTGTTTTTGGTTCTTTCCCTTGCTTCGAGAGGTTTTTCTCCAGGTACTCCGGTTTTTCCCCTCTCTACAAAAACTATCATTTCCAAATTACAATTCGATTAGGAACAGTAGACGAAAAACAACTCTGTGTATGTGCTGCTTCTTTAACAATTATTCCTAGAGCACGAATGGGCACTGAGTCAATAGCCCATGAGGCCGAAGGCGGAATGGGCTATTAGGGACTTTAAGATCTGGGACGCGACGACTTCTAGAACGCGGTGGCTGATAAAGGACTGGACCTGTAGAACGCCGTCGTTTGCGCGCGAAAAGTAAAGTTAAGATCTCGGTCGCGCAAGACGACGCGGCTGCAAACCGCTCTTTATCAGTCTGATTCTTCGGCGATTCTTTCGCAGAAATAGCCATGGCATCATTTAAGAAAGTCCAAGAAATGCTTTGTTTGTGCTTTGTTCGATAGCATCACCTCCACTTCTTGGTTGACGCTTCGGTTTGTCATCGCTTTCATCCTCTGATGAACCTCTTTTCTTCGTCTCTGACAGCTTCTCCATCGCTTTTAGTCTAACATCTTTCATTTTAGCCCGATCGTATTGACGTTTTTTGCTAGCTGTTCCCTGTGTTTCCTGTAATTCCGCTTCGCCACTTTCCTCCAACGCGATGATCATATCCAAGAGGTTTTCTAGTTCCGTTGGCTCATCGGGAGTTATCCCAGTTGCTTTTTCCTCCGCTAGAAGTTTCTTCTTATGCTTGTAAACAAGGATTCCCACGTGGTCTCGGACTGATCGCTTATCAACCCTGAATTTCGGCACAGTGAATTTGTTCAAGTTGTCTGCTATTTTTTCCCACATTCTACTTCTTTGTGTTGACCCTTTCTTAGTTGTGTAGGGATTTACATTGACGACTTCTCTGCATAGAATGGCTTCATGATCATGAGTCCAAAACATTACTGAACTAAAGAGAAGCATCAAAACACACGCAGTTTAATAAAATTAAATTAAATAATACAGGCTTAAAATTGGCTTTTAGCCGCAGATGAACGCAATAAATCGAGAATTGCAACGGTACAAGAGACGAGAAGAGTATGCAGAAGACTCCAGCATTCACTATTTCCAGTTTCAGCTCGTGACTTACTTGCAAGCCTCGCTCGAAGTCGAAGTCGAAGGCGCTGCCATTTTTTAAGCTTCGTACACCTGAAAGAAATTTAAAAATGATCAGAATCCTTCCATCTCTGCGATCTAAAATGTCGCCAGACATTACGTCCAATGATCCTAGGAGGCTGATGTTACATGTTTAGAGGAATATACCATCATTTAATTCAAGCACAGGAACAAATATACTCACGTTTTGTGCAGAACGTCAAACTCGCAAAACCCACGTTCTCGACGCGACGTGGTGACACCAGGACAACGGCTTGAGCATGCGCAACATGTCTCCTCTTTGAAAATCTACTTCCTGTCGCGTCTTACAGCCGTCGCGTCTCGGATCTTAAAGTCCCTATTGACTCAAACGCCATGAGGGCGAAAGGAATAATTGTTTTAGTAAAATCCAACTAGTTGGTCAAAAATATCGAGAATAAAAAAAATTTAGCTAGTTGAAGCTAGACTTTAATCCTTTTTTGCCACCAAAAAGCGCGCGCTTTTCTCTACTAGTGGGCTATAACATATAGCCTAGTAGTAGCTCAACCAATCAGAACGCAGCATTGATAATAGACCACTAGGTGGATTTTACTAAAAATCTTTTTTCATTCTATAATTACTATTACCTTTTTTTATTTATTATTGTTATTATTATTATTATTATTATTATTATTATTATCATTATTATCATTATTAGCGCTTGCAGTCCGCCTGGGTGGTCCCGGCCTTGAAGCAAGCCGCTAGTAAGCTTCTTTAGTCAAAGTAACAACACCCCTCGTTCAACATATCGTATCTCAGTCACACCAGCTACCGAAGATTCCGTCATAAAATCAGTACAGCAGGCAGTGTGAAGTAAAAGATCACAGGAACTCCAAGAAAGGGATCGAAAACGTATTAAGGAGATGGCACCACAGAAGACTAAACGAGCATTAGACCTGGCGATGGAAAAGGTTCATCGGCGTGGCTCACAGTGCTTCCTATCCAAGATTTGTGTTTCAACCTGAATAAAAGGGAGTTCTGCGACGCTCTAAAACTACGCTAAGAATTTTTGAGAAATACAGCAAAAACTTGCCAATTTATGATGAAAAGGTACTTTAAAAACGAACTAAAACATTCAAAACGCTTTGATCACGTGACTGATGACGTCACGTCCCTCTTTTGGTCATGAAAAAAATTATCAGGTAGAAAATTACTTTCCCGCAAATTTTCTCTGCCGTGCCCTCGGCCTAGTCTCCCGACTTTTTCGCTCACGCTCATATATTACCCTCTTAAATTTTAAATGCCGGAAGTCAACGGGTCATTTTTAAATGCCCCACACAACTAAAACCTCAAATGTGCTACAGTCGACTCTCTCTTAACGGACACCTCCGTAAAACGGACACTTAGAGTTGGTCCTTGCCTTTCTTTACTCCTTTTATTTGACTCTTTATAAGACGGACACTTCTCTAAGACGGACACTTAGTGCCGGTCCCAAAGGTGTCCATCTTAGAGAGAGTTGACTGTATTTGTTTTTAACTCTTTAATGAAATCTTGTCACTACAACAAAAAACCTAATTGGGAAATAGTCACGTGACTGATGGCGTCATTACCTTAGATGTGATACGGGAAGAAATTTTATGGCAAATGTTATCTTGTTGTGGTCTGACAGTCTTCTACGTATAAAACTGTCAAAGTTATATAGCTTGTTAAAAAATTGCCTCAAAGGATTCTGGGAAATTTTTATAATTGTTATAATTTACTTTTATAATTATTATCATTTGTCCCAAGGCCGCATTATTCTGCGCAGCTAATGCGTTTCGGGTCACGTGGTCAGAGCGAAGAAGTGAGTGAGTGTTTCCTGTCCGTTCGCCATGGCTTCACCAAAGTGAATTGACCGAGAAGGCCTGGGAAAACGCTGTACAGAGGCCAGGCAACCTTCGCCCTAAAAAATCCGGCGCCTTCCATGCTACGCAGGATACGTCAGGAAAGTCAAAAGAGTTGCGAAAATTACAGCCAAAAGGAACTTCATCTGGTGACGTTGTTGCTTCCCATATTCAACCACTAGTCGTGATTCTACTGACCATAGATACTAGAAAAGGGTCAGTTAAAGTTCAACCTTTTTATTAAAAAATGTTTAATCTTAAGTGTTACCGGATCGCTACAGGGCCCGACCGTCTCACGTCCACGTAATATAGCCACAAGGACCTGCACAATCTGTTTTCTTAATCAGGCTTTTTTTTCCTTTTAGGTGTAATTTTTTTTAACGCTTTTGACTTCCCTTAATTGTGTCATAGTGCTAGCTATTATACAAAGATGACAAAGAAAGTGATAAGTAAGCACATTGTTCAGCTACTATACAATATATGTTTTTGAGGGTAACTATCTAAGTCTTGAAAGTTAAGTGGAATTGCACATTAACCACAGGCATTGAGGTGAAAAGTTTATCGTGCCATAGCCATATTAGTTTCGTGGTATGAAATCCTCTTACCAGCTAATTGTTGCACTTCACAGTTCATTAAATTTTTGTCGCTCAGGAAGTGCCTTGATAAGATACAGTCAAGTTCACAGTGATACTGAAATTGGCCAACTTAGAACAGGCGTCATCGTTTAATTTCTTGTACCGCGGTTGTCTGGAATTAATGAGGTTAATGCGGAGTGCGAAAAACGTGAAGTGGAGAAAATGAGGAGTTCGTATTTTTGTGTGGGTAAAACTCTGTTAAACTTTTCTATTTTTACAAGGGAACCACTCGCACCAAAAAATTGGTGTATGAAATTCCCCTGAAATTGCGCATTTCCCTAGAGTAATAGACAAGGCTTCACATTGCCGCCGGGCGCATATTAAGCCGCCGCGGGGGGAGGGGGCGGGGGTTAAACTAGATTTGTGCGAATGTGCCGCTGGGACCCTCTTGGCCCATAGCAAACCAAGCTCACGTGATTTTTGTGACCTTATACTATAGACTAAGCTCCCCAAACCCCTCCTTTTTCTAGAGTCGCTACTTTCCAGAAACTACAGAGGTCGACACTTTCTTTGCTATTAAATTGAGTTGCGAGTAAAGTTTGAATTTGCCAGTTTCATAATTTTGAGCAACGGACGAGGTTGATTTTCGAGTGTCGATTTTCATTTTCCCTCACTATAATAAATTTTCAACCAGTTGTTCAGTTTACCCCCCCCCCCCTGACTACATCATGAAAATAGCGACGAATAAAACCTTCTTGAGCTAACAGCACTGATTCCGGCATTTATGTGAAGAATGTGAATTTGTAAACTTACAAAGAGTTTCATTGTAGAAAAAGAGTTTCCTTGAGTTTAATTGTGCCGTTTTTATCTCTTGTCACAGGACTAACCTCCCCGATTTTAAAGATATATTGAAAGTTAATGAACGTTCGATAAATATCCGATCAATAGGCTTTTAAGGTTCTAGAGCATTCTAAGTGTTTTCCTTTAAAAATAGAACATGATGAATAACCAATTAGCTAATATTAAGAGTTTCATTTGGAAAGATAAATATTATCAGTGTGCTTTTTGAGAGCGGCTTATCCTTTAAATGGAAAAACGGAGTTAGCAAGAAGGAGTTAGCAACTGAGAAGAAAGATTTGGAGTGTCGAAGGAAGAATTAGAGAGAGAGGAGAAATGTAGCTTGGAAGAGAAAGAGAAGAACATCAAGAAGAATATATGTAGATCCCTATTGCGAGTAAGTAAGATAAACCTTGAAAAGTTCAACTGGTTGATTGTGGTGGAGTTCCTCTGGTCTCTCCTTCTCCATCAATAAACGACACGCAGCATCATTTATCACTCTTCCCACTAAATGACAAACTCCGCAATGTCTACACTTTGTGTCTTGTACACTCCTCATTCAGTCCACACTCCCGTATTCAAAACACTTTGCAGTCTATGTTTTCCACATTCCACACTCCTCGCTATCCACAATTCACTCTACACTACACCGCACTTAGCCTGCCCCTCCTCCCTTCTCCCTCGCGCGGTCTCGCGCCCAAATTCCCTACTCCTCCTTCCTCGCGTGCGATCTCGCGAACGAATTCCATTCCCCTTCCCTGTCGAACGCCTGCCATGCAGGCTACAACGCACTCCTCGTTTTCCACAATCCACACTCTTCGTTTTCCACACTCTACACTACACCGCACTTAGCCTGCCACCTACCCCCCCCGTCCCTTATCCCACGCGCGCGGTCTCGCACCCAAGTTGCCTTCCCCTTCCATTTCGAACGCCTGCCACTTACGCCTCACCGCACCCCTCGTTTTCCACACCCCGCACTCCTGCTTTTACAGACAACCATTTATACTGCCAGTAAAATCGACTTTCTTGAATTTATCTGCAGATTAAGCTACAATAGATGGCGCTGTTTAGCCACAATAAAATTCTTTTCCAAAGACAGTAAAACGGCGATTTAAATGATAAAAAATTGTAAGTAGGATCGTGCTGGAATTTTCATGGTTGAAGGGATGTTGAGGCACTTGAACTACAATCTAAAAGTGCTGGAAGCTCTTATCTGATGAATATTATATTGTACAGAATTACGTGCACAGAATTAGTGCACCCGCCGGAAATGGTATTATTCCCAGCAATATCACTCCAGGTTTCACTTGCATAAAGGCTGTGGTTCTCTCTGCTTTTTGCCATTGCGACAAATTCTCACTGCAGTGAGAATCGGAGCGCAGAATTTTGGGATTTTTTTATCACCAAGATGCTGCGTTACATGCTACTGTTCTTTATCGCTGCATTGCCCATTGTCATTCTTCCTCGCACACTAAGCGGCGTTCAAGGAGTAAGTCCATCTTTTATTAACTGTAAATTGAAACTGTTTAAAGTGTAAATTGTTAAATTGATGGGGTGGACGAAATGTGCCTCAAGTGGTTCTTGATTCATCTCCTTCCAATTTGCCTTGTAGCATGTATGGGGGCGAATCGAAGGGAGACTTTAACATTAGATCAGGATTCGCTTAGTCCTTAATTCCAAACCTCCTTTTGTTTTTCTTTACAATTCTTACTCACGCATCGTTGGAGATCTGAAAAGTCAGTAACAGATAACGGATTTTTACTTTACAGAGTTCACTGCCAAACTACCATGAAGAAAAGAACATGTACCAGAGCTACTGGAAAGACACGAAAATCAAGGAAGTTGATGAAGATGCTAAAATATCAGCAAACGGTATTACTGAAAAATATACATTAGCTATAGCATCGCCATTATTCATACGCACTTACTTTTTCAAATGTAGTCAAACAATTCCAGGGGCGTCGCCAGCTTTTCGACTAGTTGCACGCTTGGCTGACTTTGATTTCCACATATCCTGAAAACTGCACGCATGACTAGTACGCACTGACCTCACCAACACTTTGAGCTCTTAAGATTTTTAGCTCACCTCAACAACGCATGATTTATTAAAAGCGGTAGAGTAATCAAACCAAACATTTGTAGGCCCGGGCCAAGAGGTCTTTATAATGGGCTGCCTACGCCCCTGACGTTTGGAGTTGAATTCCTGAGAACCATATCCAGATTTAGAAAGAAAAGAAAATTTCGTTGTCGCTTGTTGCGTGATCCATAAAACGTAAAATTAGGCGAGTTCGCGTCGTAGTGGATGACGGCAAAAAAAAATGAACAAACCGTGTTATGCACGTGCAGAGTTGTTGTTTTGCTAATTAAGCCTATTGTATTTTTGACGTTCGCTTTGTAGTCACCTAGGTCCGATCTTTAGATCCCTGTTATGATTTCGAATGAGTATGATGGAACTAAGAATGGATTATTATAAGTTTCTGGGAAACTGTCCACCTACCCCTCCCCCATAAGCCAACATTTCTGACAACCAGTTACGCACTCAGACGGGTTAGTGGTCCCGCCTATAGCTTCCAACAAGAGCCTCCCAGTCAGAAAACCTAACCACGTTCAACCCGCAGTGCATGCGGTTGACCGAGGGAGCGATGCCTGACCAGAAGTGGACGTATTGTATTGTTGGGAAGCGATTTTGCCCAAATGTTTGGGCAAATCGTCTCTATACACGTAAACGCACTTAGCACTGAGACACACTTGGTAGCTTCATGGTATATTAATAGACTGCGCCTCAATCCCGGTTGACGTGCGCCGTCTATGAACGCCGGTTTAATTTCGGAAGCCAACAATGTTCTGTTCTATTTTAGAGTGTTACCATTACACGTTCCTTAACGAGTCAAGCAGAGCAAACTCCTTTTACAACATCAGTATTGACTTCCTTTGTGATGATGATCTTAACGGATGGTATCGCTTTGGGGGAAATGCTGGAAAGCAAATGGCGGATTCATGTGTTCCGGACTTTCGATGTGGCGCAGAACTGCCGGGTTGGCTGAATGGCAGTCATCCTGAAATAGCTGAGGGTGCTGTCCGACGCAAAGTTTGTTTCCGTTACAAAAACAATTGTTGTGAATACTCAACAAGCATCACAGTCCGTAACTGTGGAGGATTCTACGTCTACCACGTTGGGAAGCCCCCAATTTGTAACTTTCGTTACTGCGGCAACGGAACACACAAACCAAGTGAGAATTTAATTTTCCCGTATAACCTGCGTTGTCAGTTATTCCCAACCTCCTCTTCCCTCAGCCACCAACCCTTCCCCCTTCGCAATTTGTGACACCGGAACCTCGGATCCTGCATGGAAGATTTGTTCCCCGGGCCTTCCTCGTCTCTTTTTACGCCTCAAACACGATAATACATTTTCGCTTTTTCGTATATCAAATACAGTACACAATGTTTCATCGTACATTACCGAGGAAATCATTAAAAATATCCAAAGCGTAGCCGAGTGTGACAGATTTTTTTCCCGACTCTTCAAATACAACGAACTCGAAAACCGTTCCAGATAGAAGACTCTCACTACCACTGATGCCTCATACTATCATTACAAACAGCCAGATAGTGACTACCATTACACTCAAACTACTCACTCTTAGTCTCGCAGTTGTGGGCCAAATGCCCCCCACGCTGTAAGCCATAAAGTTTCAATTTTTCGTGTGCGACACATGAATATGGCGCTTGAGGACCTACACTTAGCCGGGTGGGTCCTGTTGTCGTAGCTAAGGACTTTAATTTTGTTGCTTTTATTACTCTTCGGCACTTTTCCTCGACTTCCTTTCTTATTTCAAGCACCTTGCCTTTACTTTAAGGGTTTAGAATATTATGAAATTGCGTTTCTATCTTATAAGGATTCTCGTATCAGATTGGAAAAGTAGACGTTTCGAAGACAAGGCAGGAATGGAGTCGTAACAGCAGCAAATGTGAAGTGCCGACTCACTGTACATCGCCACGTTGCACAGATGTGACTTTTCATCGGGAATTCGGTGGATCACGGACTGTAAGTATTTATGACTGCATACCAAGATGTGCTTCCGCACTTTTAAAATGGACTAAGCTATAAGCTTAAACTTTACGTCATCGTTAAATTCATGAACAAGGCTTTCCCGGGGAATTTTAAATGAGTCAAGGAACTAATATGTATTCTAACCCTTCATCAACAAAGAGTCAAGAATCGAAAAAAATAATGATAATAATTCGCCGTCTTTTGGGTAATGTTACCAGACAGTTTCGTGTTGGAGTTAATCTCAGAATATCGATTTCTCAGTTGAAATGACTTCAAGTTAGACCATACAAGCACTCGGTGTTTTCTTGAAAATAATATTGTAAAGGAGACAAAAAAAAAAACGTTACAACGGTCGATCAAAACGACTAAAACAAGGAGAACAACTGAAAGGGAACAAGTACTTCGATGGACTGACAGTGACATATCAACGGCACTGGTGCGCTTTATCTGTTTTTACTTATACGTATTTCTAACCGATGCATTTCAGGTCCACGTTTTTGTGTCACTGAGTCATGAAGAAAACTCGTCGATGGCTCACACACCCTCGGCTCTGTGGGCAGAATCCATCAATACAGTTGGATTTAAACTATGTTCGCGCACGGCGGGTAATAAAAACGACACGGGAATGATCAACTGGTTAGCGTTCGAAGACCAGCCAAGCACAGACATAACGCATGGAAGCGTTGCTCTTGGTGGAATATGGACAACAGAAACCAAGTGTGAAAAAGTGGCCTTTTCTCAGGTTAGATCATGAAATTAGTTAACAATCTGTTGAAAATAAAGTACAAAAATGCTGCTTGTAAGAACACTTTTTAGCAGGAATGACATTGTTCTTTCTGTGATTTCTCAAGGTTTTTTGGTATGTAACACATTAACGTCAATCAGTGGCGGGCGGAGGATTTTGTGATAGAGGGGACCTATACCACTGTATACAGTGGTAATATGAGCGCGATAGCGCCCATCAGAACTGCCAACGGCGCACTTTTCTAGGGAGTTTCGGGCGCATGGTCCTCCGCGAAAATTTTTGAGATTGAAGTTCTCTGAGATGCAATCTATTGCATTCTGGACGCTTAAATTTTATGATTCTAGCAGGGGCCGACGCGATTGCGGCGGGAGCGCAACCTCCCAGCAAAGGCAGCAATATTGTCTCCCTGAAAAACTGTCAAATCCAGTTTGTTTCAGAAGGATATTTACTGCATGCATTCCGGGAGCTTTGGTCATTTGCGACCAAAAATGTAGGCTTCGAACACAGATTCAAAGAAGATTTATAGTAAAAAATTCAACAAAGGAAATGCATCCCAAGGTCATGACTCTAAGACCAATCATAAGTAAATTCATTGCAACGGATTGATAAATGTGATCCTTCTCTTGTTGCCCTTGGCATAGTCGTCAATAATTGCATCATAATCCAGAGCAACGTCCTTGTGAATAAAGAGCAGCGACAGTGCGTTAAGGCGGTGTTCTCGCATGGTGCTTCTAAAACAACTCTTTACAAAGCGCAGTGATGAGTTGCTACGTTCCACAGTTGCACTTGTGACAGGGCCGATCATTAGGAGCCGCAAAATTGTGTGGAGTTTGGAGTATAGGCCTTTGTTGCAGGCTGCCAATTCTTCTTGTAAAATGGAGGCTTTTTGGGTTCTATTGATCCTGAAAATGAAAGCAGCCACTTACATATATCGCAAGACAGAAATGGTTTCCTTCGCGTATCACTGAAAAAACGTTTCATAACCATGTACATGAGTACATATAAACTTAGTGAAACTGTGCTGTATTCTTAGTAAATTTGAAATAAAATTACCATACCAAAAGCGCTTCCACAGCTCTGGCTCCTGAGACGCACTGCTTGGCAGTGGAAGATCGGGCAAATAGTGACGAATAACTTTCTTTTGAGAAGACTTTTAAAGCTTCTGCAAGTTGGCAGGTATAAGTAGCATCTTTCGGTTTGTCGGTTTGAAGCTAGTTTAGAAGGGCGGTTGATTCGAACAACATTCGATACATTTTCTTCAGTATTAACAATGTTTACTTAAGAAAATATAGTTAAGTAACAAAGCTCGACGTACTATCCGACACACGTTTACAAAAGAAAAAAATTCCCGCACAAAAGGGGGGCCTGGGCCTCCTGGGCCCACCCCTTAATCCGCCCTTGTTAACGTTGTCAAAACCAAGGCCTCTGTCCCGGATTAACAGATGGATCAAATTTCAGTCAATCTACGTCCATTTCATTGTCCATAGGCTCATCTGACCTCGTATTTTGTCTTCCAGAGCTTTGCCTCTAAGCCGTACGTGTTTGTTTCCGCAAAGTACGGCCGCAGTACAAAGCCAACTGATGCTGTTTATGTATGGTTGGAGAATGTAAATTCTGGAGGTTTCGAAGTTTGCATCAGGGAATTCTTGCCTTTTGATGGAAAACACAGAGATACAATTGTGGTACGTGGGAAATAACGATAAAGTATACACGCAACATAGATATATGTTTTTTTTTTCGGGAATCCATCGTCATTTCACCAGCTGTGATCTAGGACAAGGAATAGGTAGTGTCTGGCGTCCCATTAGGCTCCATATAAGGTCCTTTTATATTTAAATTGTACTTAGCAGATCTCCAGGACCACATACTATGCCAGTGTTTAAGAGGTTATCTTTTTGAGGTTAATGCGTTTTTAGAATTTCTGCAAAAACCGGAAAGGGAAAATTAACAACCTCTCTTGATATGAGGCATGAGCTAACTAGTACTTCGCAGGCTATCAACTAAAACGGTACAATGATGATGAATTCTCCAACTTAATTTAGATCATTATACGTTTCTGGGAAACGGCCCACCTACCCCTCCCCTAAGCCAACATTAGCACTTACTTCTCACTTGGGGCAAATCCATCAAATGATCTCTTGGATCATTATACGTTTCTGGGAAACTGCCCACCTACCCCTCCCCTAAGCCAACATTAGCACTTACTTCTCACTTGGGGCAAATCCATCAAATGGTCCCTTGGATCATTATAAGTTTCTGGGAAACTGCCCACCTACCCCTCCCCTAAGCCAACATTAACATTTACGTTTCTGGGAAACTGCCCACCTACCCCTCTCCTAAGCCAAAATTAGCACTTACTTCTCTCTCGCAATCCATCAAATGATCCCTTGGATCATTTACGTTTCTGGGAAACTGCCCACCTACCCCTCCCCTAAGCCAACAATAGCACTTACTTCTCACTTAGGGCAAATCCATCAAATGATCCCTTGGACCATAATACGTTTCTGGTTTTCTTTCACCGACAGGACTGGTTCGCATTCCTCAGGCTTGACAACGTGACTGTCGGAGAAAGGTTCTTTCCAAATGACGGATACCCGTCAGCTCAGGACAACTATGGCTTCTGCCAGGTGAGTGGTAGCTGTCAATTAGCTGTCAAGGTACCAAAGACCAAAATACTAGAGTGTTTTGTTTGTGCTTTACTACGTTCATCGATGAGAACAACGATCCTTTATCCTGAGCCATAGTCGAAACTAACTCTGGTTACGTCCGTCTGCGAAACAGCGAGGAAATCCTTGGTATGGGCCCCCACCCGTTTACCAGTATTTGAGTACGCGCCATAATTGGTTTGTTTAAAATGCCATTGTCGATTTGACAGTCAGGTTAATGGGAAATACAAAACGTATTTCAGAACAAGGATATCCCAGGAAGGAAAGGAAACCCCGGAAAGGAATCCGCAGAACAAGGATATCGGCACGCTTCACAGACGTTACTAATACTGAGGTTAAATTAAGTTTGCTACGCAGGCTACGATTCTTAATCGTGTTGAATTCCTTCTTTCTTACAGGACGTTTCTTTCAATAAAACATTCCACGAGTCACCAGTTGTCCTTGTTTCTGTCAATCACCGATACGACCGCCAGGCGAAGGGCCGGTTTCTCCCGGAAAATAACATAATCTCGACCTGGGTGGAGGTAGGTTTGTGTTTCGTTCTCTATACTCACGTCATTAGACATTCCCAAATAGGAAAACTTTTAAATTTTAAACCACGGTTACACTTTGGTGTGTTCATTTCCTGCCGTTCTCTTTTTCTTTATTCTTAACCTGTCGCCAGGTTTTTATTATCATTATATTTTTTATTACAGCAACTGTAAAATAAAAACATAACATATAATAACGGAAAGGAAACGTTTCTTTTCGTTTCTTACTGCTGTTCTCGCTATTAGCATGAAAACGATTCTCACCAGCATAATCTGCTAAAATGAAAACGCACTTCTTTTGTATTATAATAACTTGCTTGTACTTGTCTCTCTTTGCAGAACGTTGGCTTGCAATCTATGAGGATATGTGTTAAAGACCTCAGTGGATCAGGTCCTATCCATGACCCACTTACTGTAGCCTATGCTGTTGTTGGAGGTACGTTTTTGACTTAGGCCCTTTAAGAAAGCTCTGAAACTGAACTCTACTAAAATATCCACCTTTTTTTTTCAACATAGACATAGATCCTTGTCTTAACGTGCAATGCCCTCGATTTGGAGTCTGCAAAGCATATAATGCTTATGGCGGTCGCTGTGAATGTAATGATCAATGTCCATCGTATCAAGATCCAGTGTGCAGTGCGAGCGGTACGACATACGACAATCAATGCTGGCAGAAGCTCGGCTACTGCAAAAGGCTTGAGAGCGACCCCCGTATCTACCATCCGGGAAACTGTGAAGGTAAGCAAGATCGTAAACTGCCGCTTCTAAGCCGTTATAGGTCCCCCTGGTTATAAGCGCCCCCGATTTTTTATTAACGTTTTAAATCTGAAATAAAGTTTAACTTGAATTTGTGAAAGTGGCAGATTTTGAACAGTTGCTTCCCATTATATAAAGCACGCAGAATTATGGTAAAAATGCGATAATTAGTCTCCAGGAATACCTTAATAACCAGTAAATGTAAAACTTACTTTGGTCAGTTACTGCTAGAAATGTTCAAAAGAATCTCCGAAGTGCTTTTTCTACTCTAGTTATAAACCCTGGTGGGTATAGGCCCCTCCGCTTATTTATAACAGAGTCCTCCTAAAACCCCATACGAAGATGTATAAGGCCCTGCTTGCGACAGTTCCCGCTATGCTGCAATAAAATAACTTGGAGTAACACCAAGCTGATATTTGGTGAAATACGAACAAAGTGAGACGGATTGACATCTCTCGTGGCTTTGCAGATGTAGCGAAATTTTCAAACACCAAATTTGAAGTGGCTCTGCTCAACAAAGTCACGTTATTACGCATCCTCGTTGTTGTCAGCACTGTTGCTTTATGTGAAAGGACTGGATACAATAAGGGCTCTAGCAAATAAATTCATGGGCGACAGACTGTAAATATAAGTTGCTCCTGTCAATATCTAAATGGAGGAACTAATCATCAGTATAATGCCTAAAATGCGATTAATTGAACAATTAGTTTTTACTTTATTAAATCCTTTGGGAGTGGCCATGGCCACCCACAAAAAGAGCAGCACATGTACTGATCACAGGACATTTTTGTAGTAGTCATTAACAACACAAAACAAAAAGGAAATTCGTAACATTACAACTGAACTCGACGAAATTTGGTAAAAACTTCAGCTGAACCGCAACTGAACAAGAAACGCAAACGCACTAGAAAAAATTCCAAAAAAAAAAATACGGCATAAGCAAACTTCGGCGCGCGTCGGTATCCAACTGAGCGGAAGAGCAGCGCATATGAATAAGAGGCATTGAAATCATGAGATTATTCACATGAACCAAATAGTGTTTTAAGTTGATATTTTTTTGTTGAACAGTTTTTCCTATTGTGCGGGGCCGAGAAGACCTTCTCCGTGTTCCAAAATGGCTCGATTTAAGTTGTCAGACCGTTACATTTCCAGCATACCGGTTCTACCCGGATAAACAGGTTCATGTCCAAATAACTGTCAATCACATCAAATTGAATGACTCTGTTGAAGTCCACGACGCGGTGACTGCATGGACAGAAAACATCAGCGTAAACAACTTTACAGTTTGTGCCTTGCAAGCAGGAAGGAAAAAAGATAAATTTACCCCTTTTGCCAGCATTGATTGCTGCCTATCAAGGGGAGCCTCCTGAAGCACTCACGGGAACCGTTAATTTGCCCAAATGGTGGAGTGGTACAAACTGCGAGAAGGTGACGTTTCCCAAGGTACGATGGGAACATTTTAAATGTTTCACGAACCGTTTTTTTTGTATGCAGAAGTGACGAATTATTATCATGACGATGAAGGGAATTTTGCATGGGCTTAATTGGTGTCTGCTACATGAAACAAAAGCACCAAACAAACGAAAATTATCATCGTGAAATGATACGCAAAGTTAAACGTAATTTATAGTTGATATCGGCATATTACCTAAAACCTGGTGCCGGACCGCAACATGCGCAGTGCTGTAGGGAATTACATCTTCGCGCGGTTTTCATTTCAGTAATCCTAAACCATCTATATATGACTGTTTCATCCGCGCATTTTTTAAAACCTTGTAAGGCTCCGTCGAGTGAACACTACGACGGATTTATTTATCTTACAGCCTTTCGTCCACACTAAACAAGATGAATTGTCCACCCAAAACAGCACTTTTCGGAAACGCTTTTCATGGATCTCTGAAAACTCACTGTATTCATTTTGCCAAAAAAGATGCGTTTTGAAATTTATTCGGACTAGTGTGGAAGGAAAACCTTTTACAATGCTTTTTCCAATTTCTCCATTTTCCATTTTTTTCTGATTAATGTGGACAGTGCACGTAAAATACCCTCCTTAACTCAATCTTTTTCAAATTCTTTTTGTTGTTGAACATTCCAGTTTTGACAAATTTACTCGCTTTTTCATCAGGGAAGTTTCATTGAGGCCCCAGTAGTCCTTGTGACTTCAGAGCACCTGAAAACAGGTCAAGACTATGATGCCGCTCTCATCTGGACCGAAGACGTAACACGTAGTTCATTTCAAGTTTGTCTGCGGGAACTGCAAAACTTTGATGGTAAACACGAGGATATTAGTGTGGTATGTGTCAGAAGTAAAACTAGAGGCATATTTATTGCTCTTAAACGGAAAGAGAGACCTGGATAATCATTTCTTTCATGAAAAGTTGTCGCTAAGCAAGATTCTTTGGGCAACATAATAGCCGGCATAATAGCCCAAGTCGTCTCAGAGTCGCCTCCAAACAATTAGGGCGATCGCAATTACCTGGATACGACTGAAGGTTTAAATAGTCGTTCAGAACGTTGGGATCCGGTCCAAGTCGTTCCAGAACATTGATTTAGGCTACGAAGACGATCTGGACGAGTGTATGGAAACCAAGCCTTTATTTAATCGTACAATCTTTCGCATTTACCAACTTGTGCCAATTCAATTCAATTCATTTCCTCACAACTTATTTGCTAATCTTAAAAAATTATATTCCTTTATAGGTATATACGTTCATTTTATTTGGTTAATGTTAAGGTTTGAGTATGGTGGCCAAATTAACCATTCAGTTTTCTGATTGGCCCCCGTATTGCAAAAATACGTTTCTTTTAATTCAGGCGGAAAAGAGACGCAAACGAGACGCTGTGGGACCGTATATTTGGGCGTCGATGAACTAAGCGTGTGTGAAGGTTTTTTGTGTATTGGGATGTGTTTTTGTGTATTGGGATGTGTTGGTTGAGATATTTGATGTGGAAGGCGTGGAGTTATATTGGACGTGGATTGGTAAGATAATGACTGTAGTGTATCAGTGAAACTGGTTTCTCGTAGAATTTAATATGAAGTAACAAAAACTAATTTTTTTGGAAGGTAAAAGTGATTTTAGGTGTTGCTGTGAGGTAGTTGTGGGTGTGCTAATTTCGTTACGAAGGATAGTGTAGTTTCAGTCGGCTTAAATGAAGTGGTGGTTTTGAAAGATCCTTTCAACAGTCGAAAACATACTTGTACTTATTTTAAACGTTGTTCGGCTTTCTGTTTAGGACTCTTTTTCGGTTATTTTTTATAATATTTGTATGGAGAGAACGTGGATAAGGGAAAGTTCATTTAATATAGAGAAGTGGGTATAAAGATGTTAGGAGGGGGGCTGAAATTTTGTGTGTGTCTTTTTTTTTGCGCGAGGGCAATTATTTTCTAAAGGGAAAATCTAAATTATTTAATAGTTTCACTGAACCTTGTTTTTTCAATACGTTTGATTTCTATTGCGGATTTGTTTGCTGTGCCTCATCTGTGCGATGCATATAAATGTAACGAGGATAAATGCTGTGTCTTGACAAATCGCTTGGAAGACATTCTACTCGCGTCGCTTGGCTTGTTTACTTGGCTTGTTTACGTTCGCACGTATTGCGTGCCTATTACAACTTTGAATCAAAACAAGCGATTTCGATTACTCTATTTGGGTGACGCCCAAAAAAAAGCCATTTTTCAACAGATGAATGTCTTCTTTTGCCTATTGTTTAAAAAATGTATAATAAAACAATTATTGAATTCGGTTTTCGCATGATATCATGAGTTATCAAAACCTCGTGTCTGTATTATCTGCCTCAGCCTTAGGCTTCGGAAGATAACACAGACCTCGGTTTTGATAATTCATGATATCATGCTCAACCTCATCCAATAATTGTACAAAAAATGGCTTTATTTCAAAACTAAGGTGAAAGTGACACTGATAAGCTTAACCAAGATCATTTCAAAATTTTAAAATACAATAATAAAACCTTTGTCTGAATAAAGTATACATTAAAATAGAAAAACCCTTAACGAAAAATCTTTAATATATAGATTTAGCCAGGGCTAAAAGCGAGGCTCCCATTAATAAATTTATAATTTAAATTAAACAATAAACTTGTATTCGAATTCCACAGTTCAGTTAACTTTAGAGCACATTTATGTGACTTTTGAGGGAAAGGCTACCTGATTTTAGAGAAAAATAATTTGTAAACAGCCCAAGAGTGAACCAAATCTTACATTGAGTTGATAGCTTCATATGTACACTTAAAAACTGGTAATCATCTTCGATCACATTTAAGAGCCATAATGGCTCTTGATCACCGTAGATTAATTAGTGGAAAAAAAAATCAGGCCAACTTTTTTGCGTTCGACAAGTTTACTTTGCAAAATCTTGTCAACAAATCTGGGTGCGTGTAAACCAAGTCCTTTTATACCATTTATACATCACATCTGAGGTGAAACGGTAGTATGAGGCACTGTTTTTATCATACCGGCAGACCTCGGACAGAAAGCAGTATTTCACAATACAAATTGCACTCATTCAATATTCATAAACTGTTAAAAAAATTTCCAAAATCACCTATACGGCCATCCGGTTCTCACTTTTGTAGTGTGAGCTGTGGCGAGTGTTTGAATAAACATTAACAGAGTTACGCGCGGCATTTTGAGTTAAATAACTCCTGCAAGCGATGTTCACTGAACGACTGAAAACAATCGGCACAGCGATTAAAATTACAAGAGAGACTACTAACAATCAATAAAAGAAATATAATTCGGTGAAACATATACAGAGACAACAATTTTCATTCAGGAAGACAAGTATTAAAGTGTCCCTAAAAATCCTGAGTCTTCAAGCTTCAAGCTTAAGTTTATGTTTTAAGCCGGCTTCCCGGTGTTTGCTTTTTTCAAAGACGAACTCGAGGCAAGAAAATCGCTCAAAGCTTTCTTTTCCGGCCAGAATTATAACTAAATATTCTTTGGAACGTTTTCTTTCTATTTGCGGTGAGAAACTGTCTAAAGGCTTTTTAAAGTTCTGTAAGCTTATATCAAACCTGATACTCGGTCAGATCATTGTCTCAAATCTTACAAACGTGCATAAACTAAATGCCCGCATAAACTACGCTCGACTTCATTAAATTAGATACAAAAAACAAACATCAAATACAATAATTTCTCTGGCTTACCATTCGAGATGCAGCTCCTGATTGGTATCAAGAAAAGCCAGTATCGCTTCAGACTTTGCAATCCTCTTACGCATCAAGCAAGATGAAAACGAAAACGATGCCATCCGAAATCGGATTTCCGACTTTGACAAGCGACGTATTCCTGAACCAAAAACCCAATAAACAAACTAGCCATGAATAACAGAAGACTCCTGATAGCAGCTGAATTTCATTTTGCACATCCAGTGGAAAAAGACAGTTAAAAACATCACAAGTTGACACAAAACTCTGTCAGCTTCAGCTGTCAAAGTAAACAAGATTCAAGATGCTGCATAAATTTTCCGCATGAACTCACCTGTCAAATTTTGACCAATCAGAGCATAAAAATTGGACGTAGAGCGTGACCAACGCGTGACCATGGTGAGAAAAGTCAAAACCAATTGTCTTCCCTGCCTGTAACAGCTGGCTGAATTTTCGCGTCCGAGGTCAGTTTGCAATCAAAATTTTAATTGTATAGCACATAAGCACAACATAATAATTTCATATGAATTTAGAAAAAAAATGAACTTGAGCCTGCGATCACTTTAAAACTAGTAACTTGTCAGCGGATAGCTTCAAAAAAATACTTGACCTCGATGGGTCGACACCTGAGCCCGCGATACGGTCAAGTGATACTGGTCAGCGGGTACCCTGTTTTGACAGCTGTCAATTGATCAAAATATTGATGTCAAACATGTGTGCATTATCAGTTTAACTAGTTAGAGATTGAACATTGTTCGCGATCTAGTAAAACAATTAACTGGTCAGCGGACAGCTTCCAAATAAATCACGTCACCTCGATGAGTTGACACATGAGCCCACGATATACTCATGGGATACTGGTCAGTGGCAATCCTGTTTTGACAGCTGTCAATTGACCATATTGTGAATGTCCTATACTAAAATCCTATATTAAAGATGTGGACTTGCCAACACACCCCTGACACACCCCTCCCTTCCTCTTGATAGTCTTCCCTACCCCACCCGTACAATCTGTAGACGCGTACGTACGTATGTACGTACGTACGTACGTACGTACGTACGCTCGGTCAGTCACGTGACAACCAAACGAAAAGAGGTTGACCATATTCCATGAGTATGGGGCTCTGTCCCACGCGCGCTTCGCGCGCGCGGGAGCCCCGCTATAAACATTAATTGAAAGTCTCTGTTTCTGAGGAGAACACTCCAAGGGGCTTGGTAACCAGGCAGACGTTAAACTTGACATGATAAATGCAATATCTGCAGCAGATATTGCATTTATCATGTCAAGTTCACAAGCTATTGTGAATTGATTGAATGTTCTCGACTAATCAGATTTTTCATAGTGAGTCTGATGTATAATAAGCTAACAAGACTGAATTACGATGACAATACCATTGCAGAGTCAATGTAGCTTACAACCACTAATTTCAATGAATTCTTGTTGGCAGAACTGGTTTGCGTTCTCTAAACTGCTGAAAAAACCGTTGTCTATAGAGCACGGCGGCATAGATTTTCCAGGCACCAAAAACTCTAGCCCACCACCGTTGGATGAAAATAATAATGCATACTGCAAGGTAAGAATAGACTAGAAATTAATACGTATCACATTTATTATACGATTGGTTGTCAAACGTTACTCACAGTTTTGTGGAACTTTAGCCAAGGAATGGTGAAACGTTTTAACTAAATGTTTTTGGGTATTTCTTGTTTTTCAGTTCGTGTTATTCACAAGAAGTCATAGCTCGACTCCAACAGTGCTCATCGCTGCTAATCACAACACAAACGTATCCGGGAACTCAGCACCAGTTCATAACGGTATTTCCACGTGGATTGAGGTAAAAATCGCCCTAGTTTGATACTATTTCAGGTCAGTTGCAAGGGTAACGGAGCTTTCCGCAGATCATAAAAGAAAACTTCTATTAGCGCTGTGAATAGATGCGTTGACAATCAAAGAAATTGGATGTTCAAGGAAGGATTAATTGCACCTGTCATACAAACGCCAGTTTTTTTATTTCGAACAATGCCGCTTGACGTCTGCGTATCTATGTTTTGTTTTGTTCTGTTTTCAGAACATGAATGCCTCTGGATTCAGACTCTGTGTCAAAGAGTTGTTTGGAACCAGATATGATCCCTTGTCAGTGAGTTATGCAGTGCTTAAAGGTTAGAAAATACTGAACATTTGTCCTAAACGTATTTGTTATTTCAAATAAACATCCAAAAAGACATATTTTGGTAGGCTCTGTGCACATGTGCACGTTTAATCTCCCGTTTTCACGTTAACAAACACATTCAAGCGGATTTTATGCTAGTTGCCGTAAAATTCCTAACATAAAAAGGCCCCGAATATAAGCCCGCAAACTTGAGTCCCCAAAAGGCCTTTTATAAGCCCCCCCCCCCCCCCCCCCCGTATACTTGCCCCTGGAGAGGGTGGAGGGGGGGGGGGGGTGTTTACTTGGGAATCACTCTCACAAACGGAAAATCGTTCCATATCGGAATCCCAAAAGACAAACTCGGACATGAATCTTCACATTTCAGATTTCCATGAGTAAATTTTGAACTACTGTGTCGTTTCAGGGTGATTCATGGGATCGGAATGAAGGTGTTCTCAAACAATTACACAGACGCAGTTAATCGATAAACCGATATTAATCGATAAACCGATATTAATCGATAGTAATCGATATCAGTCATCGATGAATATCGATTTTTGATATCGATTGATAGAACTCGATAAAGAAAAACGTTGCGACTTCGATTAATATCAATGATTTTCCGATAGAAATCGATAATTATATTTTAATCGATTTTGTTAATCGATAATAATCGATAAATTTTTTTCCCTGTCACTTTGATTTCTATCGATTTCCGATATCAATCGGCGGATTAACATCGATGATATCGATTGATTTTCGACATTAATTTTTATCGGGGGAGCGGGGATGGCGCAGTGGTGAGAGCACTCGCCTTCCACCAATGTGGCCCGGGTTCGATTCCCGGACTCGACGTCATATGTGGGTTGAGTTTGTTGTCGGTTCTCTTCTCTGCTCCGAGAGGTTTTTCTCCGGGTACTCCGGTTTTCCCCTCTCCGCAAAAACCAACATTTCTAAATTCCAATCCGGAATGCTCGAGCGTTTAATACATGAGCCCCTGGCTCGGGAGATTGGGCAACCACTCCTCACGCTATCGAGCTTAAATAAAATTAATTTAATTTTAATTTAATTAATCTATTAACTACGTCTGGAATTACGTACGTATGTAATGTGAATGGGGTCTAACAAAATGCTCGTTTATACCTGACGACGCCCAGGACATAAGGATCCACGAAAGCCAAAGTGATTTTAGGGTTTTTGGTATTTTTACCACATATAGATATCTGTGATCCTGGCTGGAGCTACTTTAATGGATTTTGCTATGCAAACAGCAAGAAGTGCGCAAATTGGACCGAAGCTTTGGCTAATTGCCGGCAGGAAGACGCAAGTCTCGTCAACGTCAACAGTAATGAAGAAAACGTATATATACAACACCTTCACAATGGGACAAAGTCCTGGCTGGGATTAAATGACATTTCCAGAGAGGGAATCTTTACTTGGGCAGGAAGCGGAGAAGGAAACTTCACCGCTTGGGCCAAAAACCAACCAAACAATGTTGGTGATGAAGATTGTGCCCTTACACTTGGTGTTGGCCACAAATACAAGTGGAATGACGTGAAGTGCAGTGATTGTCATCAGTATACTTGTACTTACACCGGACACGGTACATAAAATGCTGTTTTAATAATAATAATAATAGTAATACAATAATCAACAACTTTATTAATTAACATCTTGTAAAAACCTATACACAAAAGAAAAAAAACTGCAGTAGGGTAATTATAGTTCCTCGCCATATACATATATGAAATTCTCAAACTAAAAGCATAGGAGTTAGTTGAAGAATATATATATATATATATATATATAGATTTGCAGAGTTGGATTATTTGGTCGAAGACATTTATCGCTCTAGTTTACCTATTGAGCACTTTAATAGCTGATGAAATCTTCAATTATATATATATATATATAGTAATATAATGAATTGAAGATTTCATCAATTTATATATATATATAAATTCGTCCTTAAACCATGTGCATGACAAAACCATCCATTATGCCTATCAGCCTCTAAAACTAAAAAGTTTTTTTAAAATGTTTCTAAAACGAAAAACGAAAGATTAATTCGGGCAGGCTCAAACGTTTTCGATCTGCAGATCTGAGTCAACAAAGTCTAGCCGTCGTCCTCTGGATCTTGAACCTCTCAAGCTTAGTACCGCAGAGCGTAAAATGGCGAAAGACACTTTAGCTCTTATCCAGGAAATTGCGCTTGAGCAACTTTCTCCCTTCTTATTTGCAATCAGCTCCGCAAGTCTGCCGTGATACTTAACACACTCTGCCATTCTGCCTTTGGTCGTGAAAACTAGGGGAGTGAACAATCCCTGTTCGATCTTAATTACTCTTTCCGCATACTGCCTCTTCTTCTCGTTCTCAAGTTTCTTGTAGATCTGCTTGGGAGTCAAGTCTCTGTAAGAGCCTGCGTTGGGTGACACACCCGAACATCGAAAAATGCAGATCTCTATCTCTCCCAAAAGCCTCGAGCAAGAATATCCAAATGGGCATCAGGGGCTTTGTTAGCGCCATGATTGGTTAAAAATATTCAAAGGTGATCCGCTTCAAGATATGTAATTCGGATACCATATTTATCGTAATCATAATTATAACAAAATTCAAAGTTCTCAAATCTGATTGCCTATCAACTGCCCTAATTTCAGCGCTAATAGGACATTGTAATAGGACAGTACGCGTTATGCTTAAGTCATTAGGGACCTTACTATCTGACAACCGCGACACCAATGAAAACGTCACTGAAAAATAGACTTCGCAGCCATTCAAACTTTTTCGCGACTATCCCAAGTCACCCAGTCATTTGAAAGAAGGAAATTTAAGTTGGAGCTGAGGAGAAGGGACCGCGCCCGAGTTCAGACAAAGATGGTAGCATTTATCGCCTTGCATTTTCCGTTCACAATTCATCTTAGAAGTGGGCATTCCATGTCGCACTTTGGCTGGAACGACAAAGAAATCTACAAAAAAGCGTGATGCACGTGCAGAGTTGTTGTTTTGCTCATTAAACCTATTGCTTTTTTGACGTTCCTGTTGCCGTCGCCGTCGTAGTTCGTAAAGTCCCTATTAGGGAGTGACGACTACGGCAGCGAAAACGTCACTTTTAAAACGAATTAGAGTTTTTTCAAACTTTGTCGCCTTTCTTCAAGTCCGGTGAAAATGTCTAATGTAGGCAAATTTCCCTGGAGTTGATTTGTTGGGGACCGCACTCAAGTTTAGAAAGAGAAAGAAAATTTCGTCGTCGCTTGTTTACGTCCTCCATAAAACTTGAAATTAGGCATTTTTACGTCGTAGTCGTGCAGTAACGACAAAGAAATGTGCAAGAAAGCGTGATGCACGTGCAAACTTGTTGTTTTACTTAGTAAACCTATTGCTGCTTTGACGTTCTCGTTGCCGTCGCCGTCGTCGTTGCTAAAAGGGACCTTACGAAACTACAAAGACGACAGCAACTGGAGCGTCAAATAAGCAATACGTTTAATGAGCCAAACAACAACTCTGCACGTGGATCACGCTTTAACTGGGCCCCTTGGAATAATTGGGAAAAAAAGTGAAAGGATGAGAAGTATATTTTCCAGCGACGTATTCATGGATGTCGCCGTTGTCGGATCGTAAGGTCCCTTAAACTCCCTATTGGACAGGACGCGCCCACACGCGCGCACTTAAATGGCTTTTTTTTTTCACTGCTAGCAAAAAAAATGTCGGATTTCCTTGTGTTTTGATTTCAAAAAAGATCCTAATATATCACAAATTTTGTTATGATTAATTGGTAACAGAATTTCGTGTTGTCCAATTCGGTTTGTAATCGTACTCGTGATTAAACAAATCACTCTTTGTTAATCACTCGTATGATTTCAGACCGAATTGGACTCCACTAAGTCCTGTTACCATTACACATCAATCTTTCTCTCAGGTTTAGAACAGTCTGCTATTGTGGGAGAGAGCAGGAACTACTTGAGAATTTTAACCAGTTGGTTATCCCCCGTGGTGCAAAGCAGTAATTCTTTCTGGAAACGCTGTTGGCGTGCATCTGTCGACGGCTGAGCTGCAAGTACATTTCACTACCAATGTGATAGCAAGGGCCCGACTGTGACAATAATAAGGGTCGGAAGATATATTTTTGGAGGATACACTAGTGTATCATGGGGTAAGTGAGCGAGTGACGCTAGTCGTCGAAGAACTATTGATCATTAATTGTTGGGAAGATCAAGAAAATTTCCTTTGAAGGAAGATAAGAGGTACCGCAAATGCTTGGATTAGCGCCGAAGGGCGAATATTGATTTTTTTTTTACTTGAGATCGAAAGAGTCGCTTATTTGAAGGGGGGCGCTTATTTCGTTCTTCAGAATTCCAGCCTCGAAACGACCTTGTCTTTGTTTCATCTGAACAGAACCTGTAACGCTAAACAGGAAACCGTAAACATGGCTTTCACTAGAAACTAAACATTGTGCGTTTTTGGTACTCATTTTTCGCTTTTAATGTCCTGTAGTCACTAAGTTCTTTCGCAATCCTTGTCAGAGGAGCCGTGTCTTCTACAAGCAACAGTGTAATGTCCTCAAACTAGTCATTCTCTAGTTTACTATGTACATCGTATTTATGCTATATTTCTTGAAGGTACAAGAAGTGCATGCCTTATAGGGGGTGTTAGCCCTTTGCCGATACGATGCAGATTATGTGTTTCCGAACCCCCCTTAGCTTCCGGTTTAAGTTATCAAGTTGCTATGCAACGAATTCAGGAACGATAGATCTTATCACCGATACCTCATTTTGGAAATTCTAACCAGTCCTGCCAGAGCTACACACAAGAAACCTACTAACATTTTGAGGAAAAATACATTGCCAATTTCGCTATTCACCGACTTCTCTTTGCAAATTAAATTTCTCCCTTTCCTGAAAAGTTAGCCAGCCACAATTTACTGGGGAAAGAAAGACGATAAATTAGGTAACAAGGCAAGACTTGAAATAGAAAGAAAGATTGAAATATATATTTGCAAAAGTATTTCCAAATTTTGGCTTAAGTGCATGCACCAAAAACAAAAATGAAGCTTCACTGGCGGGAAAATATGCAAATGGTCAAGGGGGCGCTAATTCAAGCATTATCGGTAACTGAAGGAGGAAAAGCATTCCGTTTTCTTGTTTGAAACTGTATAAAGTTCAAAGGGTGCCCCATAGCACTACACTAACGGTAACTGATCGAACAAAGAGAGAATCGAATTAACTCTGAAGTAAAAATTCAAGTGCGACAATTAACCATTAAACCCCAATGAGCGTTATTCCCAGTAAAGGGAATTAGGGGACTATACGAGGCAGGCATGGAAAGAAATCTTTTAAAATCGGTGGGATTTGAACTGGCACGACCTCTGGACTAGATCTACCGTAGCTTAACCGACTAAGCTATGAGGCCTGAGGAAGCACGTCGTCGGGGATTAAAAGGTGGTGGATCGCAGCGAGGAAAGAGTGTGAGGGGTACATAGAACGTTGTCCCGCATAGCACCAGAAAGAACAAATGATGGAATAAAGACCCTCTTTCTTCGCCACATTAACTGTCTACGAGCCTTTTTCTTGTATAACTGCGTGCCTTAAAAAAGGTACATTACACGGGTGGCTTCGCTGTGAGTACTAAGACAATGTTGCTATTAGCACTTAGTTCTTTTTCTTTTCTTTCTCAGCTTCTAGTTACTATAGCCGGTATCAATACGACTCAAAAGCGTTTCTGTTTTCACTGGTGAACAAGCCAGGATGGGCACCTGTCAAACTGCCCCTGAATGGGAGAGATTCATATAGCTACTCCATATACGTTTACGCATTCAATGGGCCTACATTCGGAAGGGGAGGTGACATTTACATTTCCAGCTACGCGTCGTCCAATAGCTATTCTTACAGCAACCTTGGCGATACTTACAGCCTATACCTAAGGTACCGCTACGGCTACACCTTCGCACGAACATTCCTGGCAGGAACTTACAAGTTCACACCAGACGAAGTAGAAACTTTTTACGAAACAACCTAAAATGCAGTGTGCTGCATCAGCTTTGACATTTCGCTGGGCTTATTTTCCTGTATTGCGCAAAACTAAAATTAAAAATTCATAACCAATTATATCCTGTCCTTGCTAAAAAGGCTGTCTTTAACTACAAGGCAATTGGTTGCTGCTACGAAATAAAGCTGGAAAACTGATAGTTAAATAAAAGTACCCCATGATATATTATGTAGAATAATATGATTATTTGGTATGTCACGGCTCTAGGGTTAAGTGTAAAATCGCCAAAATATTGGCGAATTGTAGCCCTTATTTCACTGCCTTACAACATATCAATAATCTTGAAACTAAAAGGTCATATAAAAGGAAAGTTAATCTAAAGAATCTTAAATTTTAAAAAAGATCCATCGAGCGGTTTAAAAATTATTCGCTAATTTGTTAAAGTAGACCAAGATGTTTACAAAACCGCTAACAAGAGCGCTTCGATACATACTAATCAAACCCTTCTTTCTAGCAATCGGCTGGAGCTATCTCCCATGATCTTTCACACACGCTTTTAAAAAGATTGAAACTACTATGAGGTGAAATTGCATATCGAAAGCGCCTCATTTTCTACAGATAACGGCCAAACAACAATATTGTCCATTTTTTACTGTGTTTCTAGCAATAAAAACTTTATCCCAAAATATCTCGATAACGCTCTTACAGATTTCGCTTAAACTTCACGAACATCGAGGCTGCTATTGGAGGAAAAAGCTCCCGTGAATGATTTTCGAAGAACAGTTCCTAGTGCCGAGATACACTGCTGCAAGTAAAATAGCTAATAGCGTCATTTCGTTGCTATGACAACTCCGATGCCGTTGCAACCCTGATCATAACAAATTTTCATCTTTATCTAATACAACTGTGATGAAAATTTTTCCAAAACTTTGTTTATGGCGACGTAGTTTATGCTCAAACTTGGGAGGTATTGACCCCGAAAAACTGTATCGAGCCACCTTAAGACGTCACCGATTAAGCGCTCTTATAGTTATGTTACTTTTGCCCTTAAGGGAATAAAGGAAGAATTTAAGAAATAAAAACCATTTTTTAAAATCATCTTTTGCAAGCCTAAGTTCAAACGTAACTCCTGATACACTATAGGCGTTTATACTTTTAGCAAGGGAGTTCACTTCCCAAATTTGAGAGCTCATACATAATTTCATAGCCACTTTTTTTTCTATCAGGCGCTTTGGTACTGTCAATAGGTTGGACGAATCTGCGCTAGGATTACCATTAACGTAACATGAAAACCAACGGTTAGAAGAGTTTCAAACACAAACAAGAGAGACAGGATTGCCTAAAAAAGAAAGGTTTTCTGAGATCTGACCACCTATTGCACTGATTATGCACAGACTGACAAAAGGTTTTGCATGTTTGAGACGATGTGCTACTTAGCTAGGACACACTTGCTGCTTTTGTAATGAATTTCGGGACACAGCTTTTTTAAGTAAACCTTTTGGCATGTTTGAGATGTTGCGCTAAATAGCTATAACAGACTTGCTTTTAATTTTGGTTTTAGTAAAAAGGGCATTATGAACAAACAAACAACAACAGCAACAACCAAAGGTGTGAGGTTACATGATAGCCACTAAGCAATACCTTTATAATTGTTATTAGTAACTGCACTTTCTCGAAAAAAAAATCAAATAAGTGTTAAATGTAGTTTTGAGGCACTAAGATCTGCTTTATGTTGACTTGTATGATTTTGTAGACATATCGTATAAGCAAATTTAATGTTCTTTTCAGTCTCTGCTTTCATTGTATTTCAGTAAAAAAGTAACATTGGTGTACCAGGGTTCTCTAGTTTACATTATTGCCATTAAATTCACAAAATCGCTTTTATCGTAACGATGTAATGAACCTTCGATCTAATCACTCAGAATAGACGCAAATGCATTAAGCGTATTATTAACAATTATTCCTCGAGCCCGAGTGGGCTCTGAGTCAATAGCCCATGAGGCCGAAGGCCGAATAGGCTATTGACTCAGAGGCCATGAAGGCAAGAGGAATAATTGTTTTAGTAAAATCCAACTAGTTGGTCAAAAATATCGAGAATAAAAAATTTTTAGCTAGTTAAAGCTAGACTTTAATCCTTTTTTGCCGCCAAAACGCCCGCGCTTTTCGCTACTAGTGGGCTATAACTATAGCCTAGTAGTAGCTCAACCAATCAGAACGCAGCATTAATAATGGACCACTAGTTGGATTTTACTAATTTGATATATTTATGGATCTAATTCTTTCTACGTTTTAAAAACATAGAAAGAAAACCAAGGCCTCGTTTCCGTTGTTTTCCCTTCTCTATTTGAACATGGATAAAGCCCGGCTTGAGAATTCAACTCCAGGAAAAGTCTCCTACATTTGACGAATCGAGCGATTCCAAATAGACGCAATAAAGTTCTCTGAAGTTTGAAAGGGTGCAAAATTCCTTTTTTTAGTGATGTTTTCACTGCCGTCGTAGTCCTCGTTTCTTAAGGCCCCTAATAAGTAGACAAGACGACATTCCAAGCGTGCCCATCCCCCGGGCATTTGTCATCTTGTCTGCCCGGGGGTGGGGCATTTGTCATCTTGTCGGCCCGGGCGTGGGGCATATGTCAATTCTTGTTAATATCGTTCCTTTTTCAATATTTCATTTAAGAATATTGAAGATATTTCTTTAAGGAATGTTTTTTTACACATGCTTTAAATGTGCTTTTCGCTCCATCACAACCCTACCCCACAGTATTTTTTGCATCAGTCTAAGAAATTGCTTCCCGCCATATTAATCGCCGGTTCACGGCGTAAAGGCCTAGAAAAACTCTGCGAGATATTTGAACTCTCAGAGCCAATATAAATAGAGATTTCAACTCTCCCGTTTTGGCCGGAAATCTCCAGTTTTCGGCGAATATTTCCAGCCTCCCGTTTTCGCTTAATATTTTCTCGTTTTATGAAACTCTTCCTAGCCAAAGAAAGGTAATGCTTTCTTTGTTTAACCAATCATTTTTAGCACGTGGTTTCTCAGCCATTTTTGGCTTTTGGTACCCAAGCATGAGCCTGCGATAACTTTGGGCTCGATAATGTCGATAATGCACTGATGTGATAGGAACCAATAGGCCGGTTAAAAACTCCACTATTTTCCATTGACTGTGATCTCAAAATGCAGAAAATAGCATCTTAGAGTCACATATCTTAAAATTCAGTTCCCGGGGTAGCATTTCACTGGACCCACTAGTGGTTCGCACCTTGGCGCTCGTGGGCGCAGCTATATACCGCTTCACAAACCTCCTTTAATTCAGTTGACAGGGTTGGAATCTCTGTTAACTTTCTTGCAGTTTTGTGTGATCATGCGACGATTAATACGTGGACTGAATGGCTCCATCGTGACACGAAATTACTCTGTTTAGCTCGTCCGTTGTTTTTATATCATTGACTATTTCAAATACCTTTGAAAATAAGAAAGGCATTATTAAAATTCTAGTTTATAAATCTGTCATTGATATTATTCAGATCGATGTGATCTTTTTTGCATTATAACCAGTGTTTAGATTCAGATTTTCACAGATTCCCATAAATATGGCATTTGCAGCTTATTTGCAGGAAAATGAAATTTTGGTATTGTCCCGGGGTGGGCATTTGCACACTGCGTGGGTGTTTTAAAGGAACCGCCCAGTCCCACTGTGGGGGATCTGGTAGGCTGGTAATTTCATTAAAACGTAGAAAGAAAATCAACCTCGTTTCCGGGCTTTTTCCCTCCGAAATTGCGTGAGACTCGCTCCTCCCAAATATTGCGCGCGGATGCTTGCTTGCTTATTTCGAGCGAACTCGAACTCCATTAACTAGCTTCATCCATTCCTTCCGGTTTTCCATAATGTTCTTCAGTTCAGCTATGCTCAAACCAGTATCATTTTGCAGCTGGTCTACGTATGTTAATGCTGGTCTTCCTCTCTTTCTTGCGCCGTGCTTTGGTTCCCAGAGTAGTAAATCACTTATCACCTCATCCTCTTTCCTCCGACAGTGTCCTATAAACCGCAGCCTCCTGATCATCAGTGTATCTGTAATCTTAGGAAGGTTGCCGTACAGTTCTTTGTTGGTTTTATGCTCCTTCCAGGAAACTCCAAGAACTGCTCTGAGCATTCTTGTGTACGTACCATCTAGTCTATTCATCATCTTTCCAGTCATCGTCCAGCATTCAGCACCACAAAGCAGTACACTTTCAACTGTGGCCCGAAAGAAACCTATTTTGAGATGATTTTTTAGGTTTGATTTCCACACTTTCATCATTTTGTTGAGTGCACTCCAAGCTTGTCCAATTCTTATATTCATGTCCTTTTCACTGGATTGTATCCACGAACCAAGGTATTTGAAGTTATCTACTTGCTTCAATTTGTTCCCTGCCAGTGTGACAAGATCACCTACAGGTTGATTGTACAGCATGTATTCCGTTTTCTTGTAGTTAACATGCAGACCCACTGTTTTCGCAGCAACCTCCAGTCTTAATAAGAGAAGTTGTGCCTCTTCAAGATAGTCAGAACTTAGGGCAAGATCATCCGCGAAATCAGTGTCGGTGATGTATGTTGCTACATGACGGGAGCTCTGCCGTGGTGTGAGAGTGAACCCAGTGTGTGTTTCTCTAGTAGCTTCTCTAAGGGCATAATCCAAGGCTATGATAAATAGGAAAGGTGCGAGTGTGTCTCCTTGCAGAACTCCCGCAAGAATTTCAAAGAATTCCGTATCACCATCAGGAGTTATCACCTGTGCTTCGGTGTCCTTGTAGAGTATGCTGATGGCATCCACTATCTTTGTTGGAATTCCATATGCCTTCAAAATGTCCATCAATTTCCCACGATGTATCGAATCAAAGGCTTTACTGAAGTCTACGAAAGTCAATATTGCAGGAAGCTGTTTTTCTTTTATTCCCTCTATGAGCCTAAGCCGAGTTAAAATTTGCGGTAGTGTAGATCTACCCGTACGAAATCCGCGCGGATAAAGCACTGGTAATGAGGTTGGCAGAAAATTTCGTAATGACGGACGACTAACGATGAGAGCATTATCAGCAGTCATAGTCGGAGTAGGAGACTTTAAGTGCAGGGTCCACGCCGTTCCATCGAAATAGCCAAACGTGCTAATTTTAGAACAAACTGCACCACCCTCAACGTCACAAACTCGCGCGGGAACCCTGCAAATTTGCGCGGCTCTCGTGTGGAATTTCGGGAGATGGGTAATCTTCTTCCTATTTTGCCTTTTTTTCTTGTGATTGTTCTCTTAATTTTCCAAGTGCTTAATATCTCCATATACAGTGCATGCACAGTGGAAGAATAACCAAGAGCCACCTAATGTTATATAAAAACTACTAGAAATGCATTTATCGCAAAAACCTCGCGAATCTGTAATGGGCCAGCAGTAAGAATAAAGGCAAACAAGCCAAATGGGGAAACTATGACTTAAAAAAAACAAAAACAAAAACAAAACAAGAGTCGAACCTGGACCATCTGCACCAGGCTGCCAAGGTTAACGTTAAGTGGGAAAATTATTTTATTTAATGTATTTTCCTCTGAAATTCTGCCGGTAGACGCTTTTTGAAGCTGGTGAAGCATTGAGAAACATATATTTGAGGAAAATGAGACACAATTATTTGCTGTTGATGTTAACGTTCCGCCCTCCTTTTCCCCCAAGTTTTTTTCTTTTTTCCTCCGAACGGGATATTCATCAACATCTCTTCGTAACTGGATTTGTCAAAATTAAGGAAGGTGCCCACTAATGGGAAGTATTAATTCCCAGATAATGACTATGTGGGACAAGTAGATCATATCAGCGGCTATTGAAATCCAAAAAGAAAACTGGGGGTAACCACACATTTTTCAGAGATAACTGCGCTTCAATATGGCGAAAAACGCTGAATAAGCATTTTTTAGAAAAATGATAAAAAGTTATTTTTTTCCGCAAATTTCAGAGTGTACACGTAAACTGGCACAAATGCAATGATAATTGCAACAAGGTTTTAAAATGAGCAATAAATGATAACATAACAACTGCTCTTTATACGTCTTTTTTTGAAATATCAGCACAACTGGGAAGTTATTAGCAGTTACCCCTCTCCACGCGTTTGCCTTAAAAATAATGTAAACGACATTTTCCGTGAACCAAAAATTGATCGTTTGCTGAGTAGGCTTATTACTTTCATATGTAAGATAAAAAGCAGGGGTTACCACGCGTTTTTAGAAGTTAAATTGGTTGGTTTCGACCTTAACTTAACCGCTTTGGGGGTCATTTACAATTTTTCCCATCCCCTCCCTGGTCAGTTTCACTATTGTTTCACTCAACGCGGAGTACTCTGGGATATCCACAATGGCTGACAGTCAGAGAACAACAACACAAGGAAGAAAACAAAAACGGAAAGTGAAGCAAAACATTTCATGGACTATAAGGAAAACAAATTGTACCATTTCATTCAACTGGAGCTTCTCCGTCTCAAAAATTTAACAAAAATTTTTGAAGAGCAATCTCCAAGGTATTAAAGATTACTTCCAGCGCACATAGAGTAGTATGACGAGCTCAAGATCCAAGGCTGGCGCTGTAAACAAACTACTGTACTGTAGTGGAAAATAGTCGACAGGGACTCTTAGACTGACAGGTACTCTTTCAATCGTTTGCTTACCTGTACACGTCCTCAAGATTTTTTTAACTGTAGCTGTAACATCATTTATCATTTTACCGGGTACCTCGATCGAATATGTTATTAAAATTGCATGCATTCAATGAGCTTATATCTGTGCTTTGCGCTTTCTCTTCCGGGCTTTGCCACAAGTTTCATATGACATAAATGATTTGCATATATAGACTCAAGTTCCATACATGATCATGAGCTCTCATTTAAAAAAGCTGAATACTGCGAAAGTAGTTGTACCGAATGCGTTTATCAGTACCCTCATATATAGACTGGGCTATAATGATCATTTTATACATTTCGTTTTGATTTTTTTTTACTGTAACATTCTTTGTCATGTTCATTCACTATTTTCCGTTCCTAAATGTTAATTTTAGACTTAACATTGTCTGTTAAACCTAAGAAAGTCTTAGAATGGAAATACTTTATTTACCTTCCATCTTTAGTTTGTAAACAGCCAAATGGCAGCTATGTCTAAATGTCCAGATTATGTGTGGCGTGAAATTGAACCTTAAGAAATACTATCTACACGACAAGCTGCCCAATGAGTCAATAATTTTAATGGTTAGTACTGCCAAAAAATAATGACAATGATAATAGTAAACTGAAGCATAACAATTTTTTTCCACGATGAAAGCGTTTCCTTTGTGGTCCGCAACTATTAATTTTGTGAAGCTGCGATCTCAATAATCCAAGCAATCTTGTGATAGTTTTTTTCTTGTTTGTTCGACAAATAAAAGCCTCGGACTCTCAATAAAAGGGACATCTGTATATACTCTAACGCTCTTAGTCTATCTTCTGGTGAATAATTACATAAAATCTTACAAAATTAAAGAAATATTCGGGAAAGTGTTTATAGCCGATTAGCCGATAAAAAGTTAAGCTTGCAGTTTCTCGAGTAAGCGGAGGACTTAGAGCTATTTTCCTTCTGATTTACTGATCCTTGCCTTTTAAGGGATTGTTTAATACTCAAGTTCCAAGCGTAACATCTCGAAGCAATAACTTTTGATGTTTTAGAATTGACTTTTGTTTGACTATAAAATGTTTGGTCAGATCGACCATACGGTAAAAATAGCAACATGCGCATACTTCTTCGGTTTTCAAAGAACTGACAAGGTAAATAGAAATTGTTTTTCATCTGTTGAAAAACGACGCATCTTTTCCACGAGAAATAACTAGAACTTCCCCGACTTAGAGAAGACAAAACCAGTCCGCGTGTCCTTCGTGTTGCGCATTTCTTTCGTGTCGCGCGCGACTACCTTGGCATGCGCAGAAAATGTGCGCAGTAACAATAGTGGGCGCGGTCCTTAAAACACTCTCACTTCGGTGATTAACATGATCAGAATTACATTCATAGTCCTTATTTTCAGAGTTATTGTCAAAGAGGTTATCCTAAAGGGCTTTCCTCAAATTCAGAAGAGGGAATGATGACAGAAATTGAATTTATTCATTTGCTACGGAGGTAATTTCTGACGCCAATTTGTTTGTTTCTCCTTTGCGCGGAACCCTCGCAAAAAATGTGCGTGCGTGTCACACGAAATGACGCAATTTGTGCTTAAGAAATAGCATATTTGTCTATTTCGATGGAACCAACCCCATTACTGGGGAAGGTATTCAGTTTCGGTCTTCTACCCCGATTATGGCTCTTGGCATTATATCGGTTTATCACGAAAGCAAAGAACTTTTCGAACTTGTCAAAACGCAAGTGATGTTGATTAATTCTCAGTTTTACTCGGCCCCATGCGATATAGCACGAATACCAATCAAAGTTTAAAACTAACTCGGCCTTATGGGATAACGTTCGTACTAATCATAGTTAAATTTTGCTCAGGCTAATGCAATTTAACTGTTAGTAATCATTACGTTTCACTGTCTTCTACAAGAATAGATCAGATTGCCTGCTGTTAGCCTGCTTAGCCGGCGGGATCATTTGCGCGAGCAAAGTTTTAGAAGAGGAAGTTGCGACGCCACAGCTATTTATACAAAATTTACAAGGGGTCTGGAAAAGTGATTAAGAATTCAAAATTCGTAACAGTACGTTTACATAAGGCAACAGCTAACAAAGTGTCAGCTTTTCATTGCTGATTATTGATACAAGATAAAAGAAACATAGTCACCAGTGAAAAGCTGATACTTCGACGTGACAAGTAGACAAGATGACGTAAGAAGAAAGGACGAGACGACATCCAGGTAGAGGAGGCAACATAAAAAGTACAAGAGATGACATGCACAAGAAGCAGGCAAAATGATATGACCCCGGGGGAGGGGGTGGGGTACTCCCTTGTATAAGGCATAGATGTATGTGTCGCCCTAAGGGTAGGGCTTCTCGCCCAAATATGCCTGGTGGTTTTGTTTCGTTTGCTCCTGTCCCAAGGCGCTCAAAATTAACTTCCTATTATCCAGAAACACCTCCCCAACCGGTTGATATGGCTTGTAAATCACCGAGCGATAATCGCATTTGCTCATTTGATGTCTACGTCGTTCATAATTCTCCCCGTCGCAACTTCTTTCCT